AAACCCCACCCCGGCCCCCGCCTCCTCCCAGCCGGGGACCCTCGGGGGTCCCTCCGTACCCCCTCGCTGTGGGTCCCTGTGGGGCCGGGCCCCCCCGCCCTGTCCCAGCCCTGACGTCACCCCGGCCCCCCCCGTGTCCCCGGGACTGCTCGGCGGGATGGAGCCCGGAGCGCTCGGGCTGCTCTACCTCTGCCTGGCCGGCGTCCTCCTGGCCCCGGGTGAGCAGCGAGCGGTGCGGACCCCCCCGCTCCGGGTGCGGCCCCCCCTCTGGGTGCGGGGGGAGCATCCGATGGCTCCTGCGAGCAGCGTCCCGCACATGGGGCATCCCGGGGGGGGGTGGGGGGCTCAGGCTGGCGGCGAGGAGGGACGGGGGTCCCGGTGTGCTCCCCCACCCTACCCAGCTGCCCCTGAGGATCCCTCGGGAGGGCTCCGGCTGCGCCCTGGCCGCTCCAGCGCCGCTCTGGGTCCCCCCAGGCTGCCGGGGGGCGCAGGGCAGGTTCGCATACAAGCTGCTCCACGACCTCTTCGCCAACTACTCGAGCGCCCTGCGCCCCGTGGAGGACACGGACCGGGCGCTCAACGTCACCCTGCAGGTCACCCTTTCCCAGATCATCGACATGGTGAGTGCCCGGGCAGGGGCCCGGGCTCGGCTCTGCCCCGGTGGGTCCTGCTCCGCCCCGCGCTGATGCTCAGCCCTTTAAACCAGCCCAGACCCCGCCCAAACCAGCCCAGCTGCCCCCGAGCCAGCTCAGACCACTTGAAGACGGCTCAGACCCCCCAAAACCAGCACGACCTTCCCCCCTCTATGAGCTCGGCCCCCGTGGAGCCTCAGAGCTCAGCTCAGACATTTCCAACCTCCTCAAACCAGCAGGACCCCCCTGAAGCCACCTCAGCCCCTCGGGACACTCGGAGAGGCCACCGGGCTGGGGGCTGAGGGGGGCAGGGATGGCACCGGGGGCCATCAGCCCGTGCCCACCCTCTGCCCTCGGCAGGACGAGAGGAACCAGGTCCTCACCTCGTACCTGTGGGTGCGCCAGGCCTGGCTGGACGCTCACCTGACCTGGGACAAGGACGACTACGGCGGCATCGACAGCATCCGCATCCCCAGCAGCTACGTCTGGCGGCCAGACATCATCCTCTACAACAAGTGCGTTGTGCTCGGCCCCCCCGGCTGCTCCCAGAGCTCGGGGGGCTCAGGCTGGGGCTGGGGGGCTGCAGCGGGTATTGCCAGCCTTGGGGCGGTGTGGCTGCACGTGGGGTGGGAGCAGGAGGGTCCTGCTGTGGGTGATGCAGGACATGGTCACACCGACTGGGTGACGTGGGGCCAGGGGGGTGGCAGCAGCCCGGTGTGCCTGGGACTGACCCTCCCCACCAAGGGGGCAGCCAAGGGCTTCAAGTGACACGGGGAGGGGACACGGCTCTGCCCGAGGGCCACCTTGGCCCTACGGCCATCCCTCCCCCTCCTCCCCCAGCGCCGACGAGCACTTCGGGGGCTCCATGGAGACCAACGTGGTGCTGCGCTCGGACGGGCACATCATGTGGGACTCGCCCGCCATCACCAAGAGCTCCTGCAAGGTGGACGTGTCCTACTTCCCCTTCGACGGGCAGCGCTGCCGCCTCACCTTCGGCTCCTGGACCTACAACGGGAACCAGATCGACCTCCGCAACCGCCTGGACACGGGGGACCTGACGGACTTCGTGGAGAACGTGGAGTGGGAGGTGCTGGGCATGCCGGCCACGCGGAACGTCATCACCTACGGCTGCTGCTCCGAGCCCTACCCCGACGTCACCTACACGCTGCTCCTGCGCCGCCGCGCCTCCTTCTACATCTTCAACCTGCTCCTGCCCTGCATCATGGTCTCCTTCCTGGCGCCCCTCGGCTTCTACCTGCCCGCCGACTCGGGGGAGAAGGTGTCGCTGGGGGTGACGGTGCTGCTGGCCCTCACCGTGTTCCAGCTGCTGGTGGCGGAGAGCATGCCGCCCTCGGAGAGCGTCCCGCTCATCGGTGAGCCCCGGGAGCATCCCCTGCGGCTGGGGGGCTGCGCCGGGGGTCGGGCGGGGCCCCTGCCAGGGGGAAGGGCTGTGGGGGGTGAGGAGTCCCCACCAGGGGGAAGGGCCGTGGTGTGGGGGGGGCGAGGACCCCCTGCCAGGGGGAAGGGCTGTGGGGTGTGGGGGGTGAGGACCCCCTGCCAGAGGGAAGGGCTGTGGTGTAGGGGGGGTGAGGACCCCCTGCCAGAGGGAAGGGCTGTGGTGTAGGGGGGGTGAGGACCCCCTGCCAGGGGGAAGGGCTGTGGGGGGTGAGGACCCCCTGCCAGAGGGAAGGGCTGTGGGGTGTGGGGGGTGAGGACCCCCTGCCAGAGGGAAGGGCTGTGGGGTGTGGGGGGTGGGTACCCCCTCCCAGGGGGAAGGGCTGTGGTGTGGGGGTTGAGGACCCTGCCAGGGGGGGGGCTGTGGGGTGTGGGGGGTGGAGGACCCCCTGCCAGGGGGAAGGGCTGTGGGGTGTGAGGGGTGAGGACCCCCTGCCAGGGGGAAGGGCTGTGGGGTGTGGGGGGTGAGGACCCCCTGCCAGGGGGAAGGGCTGTGGTGTGGGGGGTGAGGACCCCTCCAGCACAGTGCCAGCGCCCCCTGCCCCCGCAGGGAAGTACTACATCGCCACCATGACCATGATCACGGCCTCCACCGCACTGACCATCTTCATCATGAACGTCCACCACTGCGGGCCGGGGGCCCGGCCCGTGCCCCCCTGGGCACGGCGGCTCATCCTCCACCACATGGCCCGGCTCTGCTGCGTCTACGAGGTGGGCGAGAGCTGCAAGAGTCCCCAGCGGGCGCCGGGCGGGCGGGGGAGCAGGGGGGATGCTGGGGGGCCGTGGGAGAGCCCCGGGGAGGGGGGGGTGGGCGCCGAGGCAGGGGGCTGCCCCCGGGACCACTGCCCGTGCCACCACGATGCCCTGCTGAGGAACGTCGGGTACATCGCCGGCTGCTTCCGGCGCCACCGCGCCAACCAGCGCCGCACCGGGGACTGGAAGAAGGTGGCCAAGGTGATGGATCGTTTCTTCATGTGGATCTTCTTCCTCATGGTTTTCCTCATGAGCGTGCTGGTCCTGGGCAATGCTGCCTGACGGCCCTGCGGACCCACCACCCCCAGGCACCCCCTGCCCACGACCCACCCAGGGGCTGCGGGTGCCCCATGAGGGCAGCGCATCCCAAAGTGCCCCCGGACACCCCCGGAGCCACAGGGTGGGAGCTGCACCACTGCTGGGGGAGAGGAGCCCGACAGCAGGACCCCTGCCCGCCTGCAGGGCTGAGAGGTCTCGGTTGGCTCTGCCAGGGTGGGCACCCACGGCCCCCCTTCACATCCCACCATCAAATGGAAATAAACTGTGGAATGTGTGTCCTGTCTCCTGCGTGGGCAAGGGCACTGGCTCCCTCCAGGTACTGGCCAGGATGAGGGTGGCCCTGGGAGGGATGGAGGAATCAGGCCCCTCAGCCTCCACTGGCTGACACGTGGGCTCCCTGTGAGGAGGGATGTGGGGCTCCCTGTGAGGAGGGATGTGGGGCTCCCTGTGAGGAGGGATGTGGGGATCCCTGTGAGGAGGGATGTGGGGATCCCTGTGAGGAGGGATGTGGGGCCCAGAGGAGCTCTGGAGCCACTGCCCACCCTGGCCAGGGCGGGTTGGTCCCAGGGTCCATCGGTGCCTGCACAGCCCAGCCCGTGGCAGCCACTGTCTCGTGGGAACCCGGCCCCTCTGGGACCCCTGCCTGGCCCAGAGGCCAGCAGGCCTGGGGTGCTCTGATTGTTCCAAAATTACCAGTTATTAAACTTCTCCAGTCTCATGGGCATTCAGTGGCTGCAGCACACACAGCACCTGCACAGCACCTGACCCTGGAGAGGCCCAGAAGATCTGGGGCCAATGTGTCTGTCCCAAACCTTGATGGCTGTGGGGAGGAACATCCTGAGAGAAAGAGCAGGATGTGGCTGGAGAAGGGCCCACGTGGAGGGGGGGCAGCAATTTCTGGGGCAAACATCCTTGTTCTGGAGATCAGCACGACACAGCCCAGGGCAGGAGCAGGAATGAGGGGGAGAGGTGGACAAGGACTGCAGGGGGATCAGACCGACCCCCAAAGCCTCCAACCCATTTCCAGAAAGGGCAGGAAGAACACACTGAGCACGAGAACTAATGTGCATAGAAAGCAAAAGGAGAAGCAAAAGAGAAGCTTCTCTCCAGGGCAGGGAAAACTCACCCACAAAAAGGTGCCCCCACACAGACCGGGCACCCCCAGGCTCTGGACACCCCTGAGCTGGATGGGTGCTGGGGCAGGACTGGTGCTGGCTGGAGGCTGTACTGGGTTGGGTGGGGACAGAGTTCCTTCTCTGCCCAGGGGCTGTGGGTTGGATTTGTGCTGCAGTGTTGATGTCCTGGGGTGGGTCAGTCCATGCTGGGCACCGAGGCCTTCGCTGCTCCTCAGGCTGAGAGTGGGGTGGGGAGCACAAAGGGCTGGGGGGACAAACTCTGGGGGGTGGGGGGTGATGTGATGGTGGGAGCCCGTCTGGGGCACAGCGACCATGGAAGGATGAGCTTTGGATTCCCAGGGAAGGAAGCAGGGAGGCAGCAGGTCTGGAGAGTGATGACCTTTGGAAGAAGGGGCAGCAAGTCAGGAGGCCAACAAGGATGTCGGGAGGTCATGGAGGGAGAAGATGAGAAGGGCCAAAGCCCAACTAGAACTTCATGTGGCTAAGGAGGTAAAAGGAAAGCAAAATGATTTTTAGAAATAATACTTTGGCTGGTTTTTTTTAATTTGTTGCTGGGGGGAATGTAGAGCCAAAGAGTGAGGACGAGCCTGAGGTGCCAGGGGATGAGGCCCAGCCACGGGGGGTGTGAGGGTCAGGGCCTGCCTGACCAACCCAGGATGTTGTTTGTGGCTTGGACAGGCCGTGGTGGCTCAGGATTGAAACCTTTTGCTCTTCTGGGCCCGGCACTGCCACCAGCACTGGGGCATCAGAGGAGGCGGCTCCGGGAGGGACGGACGTGGCGGTGGCACTGGCAGGGAGGGACGTGGCGGTGGCACTGGCAGGGACGGACGTGGTGGGGGCACTGGCAGGCAGGGACGTGGTGGGGGCACTGGCAGGCAGGGACGTGGTGGGGGCACTGGCAGGCAGGGATGTGGCAGCTCCACCAGGGTCCCAGGAATCCCCTCAGGCGGGCACAGAGCTTGCCCAGGAAGGCCCGTGGTGCCCAGCCACAGGCCCTGCCCGGGGGCACCCGCTGCCGGGAGGGGGCCTTGGCTGGGCCCCACCACGGGTCAGGCGTGGGGATGCTGCGGGCCAGCTCCAGGAGGCTGCTGCTGCTGCTGCTGCTGCTGCTGTCGGCCTCCAGGGACTTGGTGATCACCACTTCCCTGGGGAGGAACCAGGCCATGGCCGCGGAGCTGCTGCTCTCCAGCTCTGGGGGGCTGCTGCTGTGTCGTCCCGTGGCCTCATTGTCCTCCTCCCTTCCACTGGCCATGTCATTGTCCTCCTCCCTTCCACTGGCCGTGCCATTGTCCTCCTCCCTTCCACTGGCCGTGTCATTGTCCTCCTCCCTTCCACTGGCCGTGTCATTGTCCTCCTCCCTTCCACTGGCCGTGCCATTGTCCTCCTCCCTTCCACTGGCCGTGTCATTGTCCTCATCCCTTCCACTGGCCACGTCTGGCCTCTGCACTCGGAGGTGCTGGGGAGAATTCCCACCCCCCAGCAGTCCCGGCAGCTCCTCCGGCCTCTCAGTCTGGAGCCCCAGGAAGGGCCCCTGTTCCCATTGCCACTGGGCCAGCTGTGCCTCCAGCTCCCCGTGCTGCTCCTCAAACAGCACCTGGGTGTCCTGGGAGCTTTGGATGAACCTTGGGAAATGCTTCCTGGAGCTCATGGAGCTTCGTTGGGAGCTGCCAGGGGACGTGTCTGCCGATTCCTGCGCCCTGTCCACACTGCTCTGCTCCTCCGGCTGGGCTCTCGCTGCCCTCGGACGCCTCCAGTTCTGCAGGATCCTCTGCAGGAACCACGGATGGCTGAGACAGGAGCAGCTCCTGGGCCCACCCCACAGCCCCCACGATGCTCCACGTGCCACCCCAGCCCACCCCAAACCACCCCAGCCCACAGAGCGGTGCAGAGGCACCTACCCAGAGACGCTTGTCCCGCAGCACGACAGCAACCAGGATGAGCTGCAGCACCAGGATCAGGACTGCAACCAGCTCCCCCATGGTGAACATGTCGAGGGACCTCATGGCACCATCCCTGCCACTCCAGGGCACCAGCACAGGCTGGGGACGAGCTTCCCCAGTGACCTGCGGGGTCCCAGTGATGGGATCCCAACACTGCTGGGGTGGCAGAGGCTGAGGTGGTGCCCACCCGCAGTGCCCTGTGTTCCATGGCCCGTTATAGCCCTTGGTGACATCATGGGGCAGGCAGAGCCCCCTTTGTGACATCCCAGGGTGAGCAGAACCCCCTTTGTGACATCTGGCTGCCATATGACGAGGGGACGAGTCACCTGCTGGTGACACCTGCAGGGCCTGGCAGGATCAGGCAGCTGGTGCTGGGCAGCTGCAGCTTCCCATGGCAGCTCCCAACGAAGTTCCATGAGCTCCAGGAAGCATTTCCCAAGGTTCATCCAAAGCTCCCAGGACACCCAGGTGCTGTTTGAGGAGCAGCACGGGGAGCTGGAGGCACAGCTGGCCCAGTGGCAATGGGAGCAGGGGCCCTTCCTGGGGCTCCAGACTGAGAGGCCGGAGGAGCTGCCGGGACTGCTGGGGGGTGGGAATTCTCCCCAGCACCTCCGAGTGCAGAGGCCAGACGTGGCCAGTGGAAGGGATGAGGACAATGACACGGCCAGTGGAAGGGAGGAGGACAATGGCACGGCCAGTGGAAGGGAGGAGGACAATGACATGGCCAGTGGAAGGGAGGAGGACAATGAGGCCACGGGACGACACAGCAGCAGCCCCCCAGAGCTGGAGAGCAGCAGCTCCGCGGCCATGGCCTGGTTCCTCCCCAGGGAAGTGGTGATCACCAAGTCCCTGGAGGCCGACAGCAGCAGCAGCAGCAGCAGCAGCAGCCTCCTGGAGCTGGCCCGCAGCATCCCCACGCCTGACCCGTGGTGGGGCCCAGCCAAGGCCCCCCCCCGGCAGCGGGTGCCCCCGGGCAGGGCCCGTGGCTGGGCACCACGGGCCTTCCTGGGCAAGCTCTGTGCCCGCCTGAGGGGATTCCTGGGACCCTGGTGGAGCTGCCACATCCCTGCCTGCCAGTGCCCCCACCACGTCCCTCCCTGCCAGTGCCACCGCCACGTCCCTCCCTGCCAGTGCCACCGCCACGTCCGTCCCTCCCGGAGCCGCCTCCTCTGATGCCCCAGTGCTGGTGGCAGTGCCGGGCCCAGAAGAGCAAAAGGTTTCAATCCTGAGCCACCACGGCCTGTCCAAGCCACAAACAACATCCTGGGTTGGTCAGGCAGGCCCTGACCCTCACACCCCCCGTGGCTGGGCCTCATCCCCTGGCACCTCAGGCTCGTCCTCACTCTTTGGCTCTACATTCCCCCCAGCAACAAATTAAAAAAAACCAGCCAAAGTATTATTTCTAAAAATCATTTTGCTTTCCTTTTACCTCCTTAGCCACATGAAGTTCTAGTTGGGCTTTGGCCCTTCTCATCTTCTCCCTCCATGACCTCCCGACATCCTTGTTGGCCTCCTGACTTGCTGCCCCTTCTTCCAAAGGTCATCACTCTCCAGACCTGCTGCCTCCCTGCTTCCTTCCCTGGGAATCCAAAGCTCATCCTTCCATGGTCGCTGTGCCCCAGACTGGGCACACATCACTTGATTTTCTTTTCTTCCTTCCTTGTTTGTCCTTTCCCTTCCAGCACTTTCAGAATCTATGTACAGTTATTAAATTATCTCACCTTGTTCGTTTCTCCCTTTTTTTTCCTTACTGAATTGGCAGGTGGGGTTAAAGCACAAAACCCTTCTTCAGCTCCATTGCCCTTCTCCAGACATACTGCAGCACCTCAATGTCTTTATTGTCGTGTGGGGCCCAAAACTGACCCCAAGATTTGAGGTCCGACCTCACCATGCCCGGCCCAGGGGGATGATCACTGCCCTCGTGTCATGGAGGCTCCTGACATTGAAATAAACCACCTATTCAAAAGAGATTTATTCGATGAACCAGTTAAACCCCAGCAGTTACAGATCCAACAACAGCTGAAAACAGATTCGTGATGTCAAATGGAATTGTTACGACCCGACTGACCTTAGGAATCCCAACGGATTGAGCAGGACAACCTGGAATGCAGGGTCACTGCCTGAGGCAGCAAGGGCTCTCCCTGGGGCTCCTGGGAACTCCCAGTGTCACAAAGGGGGCCCCGCCTGAGCTGGGATGTCACAAAGGGGGCTCTGCCTGCCCCATGATGTCATAAAAGGGGGCTCTGACTGGTGCCCTGGAGTGGCAGGGATGGTGCCATGAGGTCCCTCGACATGTTCACCATGGGGGAGCTGGTTGCAGTCCTGATCCTGGTGCTGCAGCTCATCCTGGTTGCTGTCGTGCTGCGGGACAAGCGTCTCTGGGTAGGTGCCTCTGCACCGCTCTGTGGGCTGGGTTGGTTTGGGGTGGGCTGGGGTGGCACGTGGAGCATCATGGGGGCTGTGGGGTGGGCCCAGGAGCTGCTCCTGTCTCAGCCATCCGTGGTTCCTGCAGAGGATCCGGCGGAACTGGAGGTGTCCGAGGGCAGCGAGAGCCCAGCCGGAGGAGCAGAGCAGTGTGGACAGGGCGCAGGAATCGGCAGACACGTCCCCTGGCAGCTCCCGACAAAGTTCCATGTGCTACACGAAGCATTTCCCAAGGTTCATCCGGAACTCCCAGGACACCTGGGCGCTGTTTGAGGAGCAGTGCAGGGAGCTGGAGGCACAGCTGGCCCAGTGGCAATGGGAGCAGGGGCCCTTCCCGGTGGTCCAGACCGAGCTGCCGGCACTGCTGAGGGTCAGAAAGTCTGGCCGGCGCCTCGGAGTGAAGCTGCCGCGGCTGGACATGGGCAAGGGGACGGAAGAGGACACACGTGAGGACGCGGGACAGCACAGCAGCAGCTCCGCGGCCACGGCCTGGTCCCTCCCCAGGGAAGGGAGGATCTTTAGCCCCACGGGGCTGGAACGCAGCAGCCGGGGCAGGACCCGCCCGGCACGGCCCGGCCCCTGGCAGTGGGGGCTGGGGGTCAGGCAGCGGGGCAGGGGCCCGGGCCGTGGGCTCTTGCAGCGCTACCTGAGGCAGAGCTCGCTGGGGCGCTCCCTGATGCACCTCTGGGCTCGGCACATCGAGCGCCGGCGCCGGCGCCGCGTCCGCTTCGCCACCCCCCTGGTGACAGTGCAGTACATCGAGTAGCACCGGGGACACTCCCTGCCAGAGCTCGGCCATAAAGGATCGAAACCCAGGAGCTCCTCCCTTTGATCCTTTCAATCCAGTGCGATCCAGCCCAGTCCCAGAGATTTGCCAATAACCAACCCCATCTACTAATCAACAACTTCTGGCTTTTGGGGAGGCTGATCCCTGGCTTATTTTGCCAATCCAAAAGCACTGGAGGAGCGAGAGCAGCTCAGGACTTGCAGGTGCCTCTCTGTGTCCCCTCAGGCCGCAGAGCTGTCCCCAGGGCTGTGCAGAGGCACGAGGTGGAAGGGCAAGGGGATGCCAAATGTCCATCCACAGCTGGGTTCTGTTTATCTGCCTCAGGGTGAGGGCAGGGGGAGCTTGTACCTGCCTGCAAAGAGCCGTGTGGGGCATCCTGGGCTTTGAAAAGCCAGACAAACTGTCACTGCACACACGGCAAGGATCCGAGCCACAATTAGGGAATTGGCATCATCAGAGGGGTTTCCAGTGCCACCACAAGCTGTGTTTGGCCAACCCACCCCCAGGCTGCAGCTCCAGAGCCCCTGGCACTGGGGGACAACAGGAACCAGCACCCAAACGTGCCTGGTGCTGGACTCCTGCCCGGGATGGGGGAATGAACCCCCGGACGTGCCCGGTGCTGGACTCCCCCCCAGGCAGGACCCTGCCCTGGTACCTGTGCCAGGTGTGTGACGCGATGTGTGACACGGTGTGTGTGACACGGTACCTGAGCCAGGTGTGTGACTCGGTGTGTGTGACACGGTACCTGAGCCAGGTGTGTGACACGGTACCTGTGCCAGGTGTGTGACTCGGTGTGTGTGACACGGTACCTGAGCCAGGTGTGTGACACGGTACCTGTGCCAGGTGTGTGACTCGGGCCCTGCAGGACCGCGCGGGGCCGCCGGGGGGCACAGCGGGACCGGCTGAGGGGGGGACCCCGACCCGAACCCCCCGTGTGCCCCCGGGGCTCTGTCCCAAACCTTCCCAAACCTCCCCAAATTCCCACCACGGGGCAGAGCTCGCGGGGGGGATCGGGCAGGTCCTGGCGTGGGTTTCACAGCCCAGTCCTTCCTTGGACGCCTCCGGGGTGGGGACTCCAAACCTCCCTGGGCAGCCCCTGCCGAGGCCTCACCACCCTTTCCAGCAGGAAATTCCTGCTCCTGTCCCACCTGAGCCTCCCCTGGCACAGCTGGAGGCCGTTCCCTCTCCTCCTGTCCCTTGTTCCCTGGCAGCAGAGCTCGACCCCCCCCGGCTCCCCCCTCCTGTCAGGGGGTTGCAGAGCCAGAAAGTCCCCCCTGAGCCTCCTTTTCTCCAGGCTGAGCCCCCCCAGCTCCCTCAGCCCCTCCTGCTGCTCCAGCCCCTTCCCAGCTCCTTCAGCTGCTCCTGCTGCTCCAGCCCCTTCCCCAGCTCTGCTCCCTTCTCTGGACACCTTTCCTTCTCCAGCCCCTCCATGTCCTTGTCGTGAGGGGCCCAACACCAAACATGGGTGAAAGGTGGGGGTTATCCCATCTCCAGCTGCGTGGGACACGTCCATGGCAAGTGCAGGCTTGGAGTTCATCATATCTGGGTGTTAATTCCAGGCCCTTCCACCCCCACAGTAATTCCTGTAAGTGTCCAGCTGTCCATCTAATGTACCACAGCCTTTCCCAGGTTTTCTCCCCAAAGCCTGTGGCACTGAGTATCTCTGTGTATTCCTGCTGCTCCCAACACTGGATCTCTCCTGTCTTGTAGCTTCAACTCATTTCTTGGGGAAATTGTCCCAGAATTAGAAAACTGCTTAATAAATTAACTTCTGTTTTTCAGGATGTACCTAGAGCAGCCATCCTACCCAATCCCACACTGCAGCTTCCATGGGATCCTCTGCTGGCATCTGTTCTGGGGCGGTCAGCAGCCAGAGGTGATGGCCTGGAGATGTGGTGATGCTGGAGGTAAAGCTGGTGGGGAATCCAGGGAAGGGAAAGCTGGTGGGGAATCCAGGGAAGGGAAAGCTGGTGGGGAATCCAGGGAAGGGAAAGCTGGTGGGGAATCCAGGGAAGGGAAAACCGGTGGGGTGTCAGGGGAGATGAGACTCCATCCCCTGCAGTCCCAGGGAGACCTGGCATGGGCAGGACCCTCTGGCTCTTGAGCCCCAGCTCAGCGTGGCCTCGGGAATGTGCCCCTGGAGCCAGGATCCAGGGGATTCCCAAGTGCTGCCCACTAACCCTGCTCCTCAGTGCCTCTGGGAAGGCTCCATGGCTGCCTACACAGGGACTTCTCCTTCTGGAAGTTGTGCTTTTCCCCATGAAGTCTGGAACTTTCCCTGCTGCTGGCTGGGTTGTCCACGGTGGATTTTGGGTTCTGTCCCACTGCCAAGGTCACCCGAAATCCCTCCTGCTCTGGGGTGAGCCCTTGGCAGCTCTTGGCCCCAGGTTTCACCCCATCCTGGAGCTGGAGGCTCTGCCTGGGAGTGACCTTGGAGCCCCAACTTGGAGCTGTAAGATCTCTGACTTTTTCCCTTGCCTTTTTATCTCTCTCTGTTTGATGCTTCTTAATTTATGGCAGCAAAGCCTAACGGAGATCCTTAACTGCACAGCCGCAATGCAGCAGGGAAATAGGCAGCTCTTTCCCCCCTCCCATGCCCTTTTCCATCTATTTTCCTATTTTAAAAATTACAATTTTTAATGTATCACTTCCCAGTCCTCCCAACTTTCTGTAGGCACTTAGAAATATCAGCTGGCAAATACAGAGAGATACTCCCAGACCTCCCCGTCTGCCCAGAACTCATTTGTGCTCCATAAAAAATTAGGCTTTTATGCTGGGGGAAGATGCTAATTCCCTGGAGTCCTTGCATTGCCCAGGATTTTTTTTCCAACCAGTCAAACTCAGTAACAAACATAAAATATTGCTGAGCAGCTCTTTGGGTTTAATATTCATCTGGCAGCTCCACTGGCTCCTGCTCCTTCTTGCTTCCCTACGAACCTTGTTCCCACACACAGCAACACCTTGTAGGTGTGGAGACATGGAACTGCTCATTAATTACGCCCAGGGTTAGATGCCTGGCAGGAATTAAGTGCTGGAAGGCTTGGAATGGCCTTTTTGAGATCAAGAGAGTTGGCTGGGGGCAGGGGAGGAGCAGAACCGTGGGCAGGCTCCTGTGGGTATCTCGGCAAACCCGGCTGCTGTGAGAAGGAATAACAGACACTAAAGGTGTCTCCAACATGTGAGAG